ACGAATTGAATGCTCAAAATGTTAGTTACTTCGTGCTATGTTTGAGTTGTTCAGGGAAGAGATATAGCTTAATTCTCCAATACTCAAGTTTCCAAGGGAAACCAATATTTCTAAATATTCTAATTTGATTTGGAAGAAATGGTCAAATAGCCACTCCATGTACATATCTGTTGGACTCAAGCTGCTAATTCCCAGGTATTTGTTTGACTTACCCGCGTAAAGTAGGGGTTTACCTCGCACAATTTTTACACCATGCTCTTGTCTTTCTTAAGGACCAAACAATCAGAATACAATATCAAAACAGATTACTAACATGGCTTGTCATTTGTTTTTTGTAGTATGGAACATCAACGGTGTCAAGTCCCAGAATTCCTCCCATGATTTTGTTTGCATTTATTCAGCTAGCATGTGTGTATCTCTTACATACAGCTGTGACGTCAACTACATCTTTGGTATGGAAAGTTTTCTTTTAGTCTTTGTGTGTGTTTTGAATAAATTTATGAAAAGTGAAGTAAAATAAGGAAATTATTTCACTTTCATTTTTTGTCATTGCAGTGGAACCCTGTTAATATTGTCACCAACTGGCCACAAAGATCTGGCTGTATTGGTGCATTCCACTCTATTCTAGTACAGTTGTGATATTAAATTGGCCCAGCCTTTACTAGGGGAACAAAATTGTTAAATTGCATTTGATAGAATGGCTGAATTACACTAGAAACACTTTCAATTTAGACTACAATTTCTTGCAAACCAGGGCCTTGTAGTCCTTAGATGTATTCTGTTCCTTTGCAGTGGTTTATCTCAGCATTGATATTTGGCATAGGGTTTTCACTCTACACAGCCATTAACTTGTATGGAGTGTTAGCCATGGAAAATGGTCCCCCAGGACTGTCTGGAACATCCCATGCTATCGTTGCCCTAGCAGCAAACGGTAAGACTTTATTGAAGGTACCTTATTCTTGTGCATGGGTTAGTGAAATTTAAATATTAGGGCTGGGGGCTGGGAAAGATTGTATCTGCTCAGTGTTCTGATTGCACCACTTTTTCAAAGGCAAGGCAGGTTATATTGCACTAATTTCACTGAAAAAAAGTAAAAGTAATCAAACTACTTTTGAAACAATCCTTTGTAGAAGATTATTGCTTGGAGGAAAGGGATGGAGGGGAGGCAAGAGTTAGAGGAATGAAATTAAGGCTCCCCAAAGATGACTTGAACAGGTTGTGACCAGTAATACACTGTAAATTGTGACCCTCCATACAAAAACACTTCTCGTGAAACAGGGCAATTTGGGTGAAACCTAGCCTGTGAACAGGCTCCAGCTAGAAGGGTCTGACCACGGCTGAAAGGACCAACAAGGAACTAGCTTAGAATGAAATGGCTGGGAGGGGGGATGGTGTCGCCCCATCCTTGACCAGAGAGCCTGTTCACTTGCTAGGTGAAACTGGGTTTCAAAAGGCTTTCGCACTCCTAAAACTGGGTTTTCACCTACCATCCATTTGTCTGGCTTTTCCTGTCCGGGCTGGCTGATCAACCACGGAGGTATTTCTGTAGCTTTGCCAAATTTTCTTCACAAATGTCTTCCCCGCATGCAGACATCTAGCTGTAACGCTCACGCTAAACCCCTGCACGAGTAAAAATGCCACTTGCGAAAGTAAACTTGAAGAATAACAAGCAACCACGTTGAATGAACTGGCTACACAGTGGCAGCCATAGTTTTGAAAACGAGAGCGGCGTTGATATATAAGGAAGGCATGATTGATGGAAGCGAATTACCAAATGTTCGTAAGAGTTTTGATTCGGGGGTCGCGTTTCAATGAAATTGGTGGTAAGTGCATTGTAAAAAAATTAATATGTTGGTTGTGTTGAAGGTTTCCACAGTCAGCATGCTTGTATTTAGAAACCTGTCTTAAAATCCCTTTTCTTTTATGGTGGAAATGGCATCTATCCACCTTACAGGATTTGTATACTTTTAATAATGCCTTCTTTATTGATTCTTCCCATGAATCCAGTTGGTGCAACCCTTGCAGGAATTCCCCTGACGACAATCAGCAAGTCTTATGACTGGGGAGGTGTGTTTGTTGTCCTTGAACTGGCTTCTTTGTTCTGCGGCTGTTTGTTGATTGGAGCACGAAATGTCAGTAGGCACATGATTGATCCATCAAAGTTTGAATGAAGATTCTACACGAACAAAGAAACATGGCCTGAACATCCCACGTAATAATTACATTCTGAAACACTTTTCCAAGGTTTATCAAGTCTTTAGTCTAGAAATGAACAAGTTAAACATTAAATTAATTATTTAAATTAATTTAATTATTTTAACATTAAATTAATTTATTTAATGTTTAACTTGTTCATTTCTAGAGTAAAGACTTGATAAACCTTGGAAAAGTGTTTCAGAACGTAATTATTCTTCACCATGTCGCCAGTTCCAACTGAAATATTCAAGACACAGTAATGAACATTTCATTTTCCTTGTTTCAAGATTTTTACATATTTGACAGGCATGTAAGTCAGTCTCCCTTATTGTGGAGGGCTGGTTGACTTAACGATGTTTAATTTCTTAAAGCCATTATATTTGTTAGCCTATTTTTAAAATCAGATTTTAAAATCCATAAAATAAACATTTAAAAATAAGAAGTTCAAAAAAAATAATAATAGAGTAAAGAATTTTCATAAACGTATTTATAATTGTTTATTTATTATAAGTAGTCAGCCTCTTATTAATTCATGAAATTATCATGGCAATTCTAGTTGAATTTTAGTTGGGAATATTCATTATGCCCTGCTCAACTGGTGATAACATCTTGCTTCAACTTGATTCAACATTGTTGGTTGAAAATTGTAGAACATACAATCATGTACTTAATTGCCCTGTTAGAACATGACTGTTGGATGAAAGTTGATTAAATTAAACTTTGTCCTACATGTTTCAACATTTGAAAACGTGTGTTTGGCTTTTTGCCTCAATTTTGTGTTTTGTGAAAATTATTGTCTTCAAATCTTCTTCAAATTGAAGATAATACTGTGTTACAAAAGTGAAGCCTTGGAGCCAACTGGCTCATAGCTGCTAGAGCTTATCCTGGTTTCTGTAGCATGAAGC